GGCACCTCTCTGAAGCCCCACTGGAAACGTGTTGGCTGAATTCTGTGCCCAGGGCAGGTGTATTGAGGCCAGGCAGGGCCTCCCTGCGTGCCGGAGCCTCGGGGAAACCGGTGGTCCCAGCTGCTGGGAAAGGCATCTTGGCTGGCGAGCTGAGCACCAGCACAGGGATGGGGGGATGATACAGCCGCCCACCATGCAGCAGCTTTGCAGTGGTTTCGCAGAGCGGGACTGACCTGCAGGTGGTTAGGCTGAGCCTTAAAGCAAAAATATGCCTTTTTCTGCCTTAAAATTGCAGCCTGGGTTTGCCCGGAGTAAGTCCCGTCACTGCTGCAGGCAGCTCCTGCCCGCACCCGGCATCCTCCTGCATCCCTGCCTGCGTAAAGCTGGGGAAACCTGAGGGTGGGTGCTGCACAGACCCGCTCCCCCTGTTAAATCTGTAGTGACAAAGTGCCATCCCCCCCTCCGTCAGAAGCTCTTACAGTCCCAGATAATGATCATAATTATGTATAATTTTTGCTTTATATGTAAGGGGAGAGCAGGGTCTCCTCTATCCCAGCCCACCTGCCTCAGGTACTGCGGCTTTGCCGGGGAGAAGAAGATTTTAAGGGATCTCAAATTGCAAACCTCAGAAGCGCAAGGAGAAGCAGCAGCAGACACCCGGGAGCAGGGATGCTCCCAGGCCGGCCGTGCCGGGGACCGCACGGACACAGCGCCCGCACAGCCGGAGCATTGAGGTGTCACGACATGGATTTCTCTTCCTTGCATCATCCCTAAAAAAATCCCATGAGAACAGGATGTCTTCTGGGCTGCTTTCATTCCTCATCAAAATAATGATATAAAATAATAATTCAGCTGAGGTGCTGCGGTACCTTGGGCCGTGTAACCCAACAAGGAGGAGACTCGTTGGGGCACTGAGATGATCCCAGCAGGACACATCACAGCCAGGCTGGGCACTGCTATAAATATGAAAACCCATCTCCGAGGGCATTAAGAAATGAAGGGAATAATCGCTTTATCCTCTTCCAGCTTCATTTTCCTGCCTTCCCTTCCTCAGGCCCTTCCAACGGCAGCTGGCCCAACTCCACCGCAAGTGAGGGCCACCTCCTGAGGGAGAACTACACCTTCTCAGCATACTACCAGCACTCCTCCCCCGTGGCCGCCATGTTCATCCTGGCCTACACCTTCATCTTCCTCATGTGCATGATCGGCAACATCCTGGTGTGCTTTATCGTGGTGAAGAACCGCCAGATGCGGACGGTCACCAACATGTTCATCCTCAACCTGGCCATCAGCGACCTGCTGGTGGGCATCTTCTGCATGCCCACTACCTTGGTGGACAACCTCATCACGGGTGAGCAGGGCAGCGGGGGGGGGAAGAGAAATTGGTGTGGAACATCATCCACCTTCTGCCCCTCACACATGAGGCCACCCCCAAATCTCCTGCCTGCGGGTGCTTTTCTTTGCTGAGGATGAGGAGGGCAGGTGGTGGCCACTCAACCACATCTGATGAAAGGTATCATTTCATTTAGACCTATTATTTTAGGGGGAAGAGTCCTTTTTTTTTTTCCCCAGGTTTTGGACATTTTTTGGCAAAATAAGTATGACCTTAACAGTGCATTTACATATTTATTTAAAGTTCAGCTGTCCTCCATCAAGCAGCACTGAAAAAAACCCCTCTTCTTCTGGCATCAATCTTCTCCCCGCGCTGGCTCAGCTCTGCCCATTGACGTTCCAAAGATAAAGCGCAGCATTGGCATGGTTGGCAGAGTTTAGCGAAAGCGGTAGCTGGGGCACAGGGCAGAGTCTGTGTTTATTTATTACGGAGTGCAATTTATTTATTGCCAACGCCTTAGCAGGGGTCAAGAAACAAGATGAAAGCCCTTCTGACTGAGGATCCCAAGGTCAGTCCCCATAAGGGTAGGAGAAATGACAACCACCATGCTCTTTGAGTTTCTAAGAAGTGTAATACATGTCGTTTTTAGCAATTTTGGGGTTTTTCTCCAAGCATCTGTACTGCTAAAGGCCATCTCTGTATGAGCCAAAAATGCAGCCCCCCGCTTAGGAGCAGGATTTAGCGTCCCCCAGCAATGACATGGTGGATGGGGACATCTAGAGGGAGCTGCCAATGGACCCGGCTGAGCCAAAGGCACCTACAACCTCCACAGTGTCCCCTCGCAGGTTGGCCCTTTGACAACGCCATGTGCAAAATGAGCGGCCTGGTGCAGGGCATGTCCGTCTCCGCCTCAGTTTTCACGCTGGTGGCAATCGCTGTGGAGAGGTACGTTGGTGTGGGGACGTGGGGACATGGGGACCAAGCCACCCCCAGCGTGTTCGGGTGTCCCGTGTGGTTTCCATCATGGGAAAGCTCCTGGAGACGTCAGGAGCATGTCCCAGCTCTCCAGGAGGACCACAAAGCTGTCCATGGGGCATCCCAGCAAGGTGTCCTTCCCCACCTTGGGCTGAAAACACCAAAGCTGGAGAGATCCCAACCTGTCTCTGCCACCAAAAGCCATATGTAAAGAGCAACCCACCTTACCCTCCCTTCCCACCCCTGGGTCCTGGCCACCCTCCTTCCCCAGGGACGTCCCACCAGGTCCCCAAAGCCACCACCGTCTGCCCTCCCACAGGTTTCGCTGCATCGTCCACCCCTTCCGACAGAAGCTGACGCTGAGGAAAGCCCTGGTGACCATCACCATCATCTGGGTGCTGGCCCTGATCATCATGTGCCCCGCTGCCATCACCCTGACCGTCACCAGGGAGGAGCACCACTTCATGGTGGACACCTACAACAACTCCTACCCCCTCTACTCCTGTTGGGAGGCCTGGCCCGAGACGGGGATGAGGAGGATCTACACCACCATCCTCTTCTCCCACATCTATGTGGCTCCCCTCACCCTCATCGTCATCATGTATGCCCGCATCGCCTTCAAGCTCTTCAAGTCGACGGCGCCTGCCCACGGCCAAGAGGAGCCGGAGAGAAGGAGGGTCTCCCGGAGGAAGGCCAAGGTCATCAACATGCTTATCATCGTCGCCCTCTTCTTCACCCTCTCCTGGCTGCCCCTCTGGACACTGATGCTGCTTACGGACTACGGGCGGCTGAGCGAGGGCCAGCTCCGCCTGGTCACCGTCTACGTCTTCCCCTTCGCCCACTGGTTGGCCTTCTTTAACAGCAGTGCCAACCCCATCATCTACGGCTACTTCAACGAGAACTTCCGACGGGGCTTCCAGGAGGTCTTCAGGGCCCCCTTCTGCTCACCCCACCGTCATCGCCATCGTGGGCCCTACACCCCCAGGAGCCACGGCTGCGGGATCCTCTTTGGCGCCCGCAACCGCGTCTTCGCCCAGGCACGGGCCAGCGACTCACCACCCGCCTCCGAGTCGGGGCCGTTGGCGCCGCACCGCACCACGCTGGCGTCCCCCCGTGGGACAGCTGAGCAGCCACAGCCACCGGGCACCTCTGGACCAAGGGCTTGCGGGGTGGGGCACGGGGATTCGCCACACCCTGGGCAGTGAGTCACCGAAATAAAGGCGCGTCCTGCTGACGCCATGTCCCTGCCTTGGCTCCTCCGCTTCCCCCAGCGGCGCCGTCCCGGACGAGGGGCAGAATGGGGGCCAC